GGAAACCTTTGCAGGTGTTTTGTTAATTAGCTGACTAGATTGGGACACAGGGAGCCTACAATGTTGAACTTTGTCATGATATTCTAATTTTGTGAAATACTGGATGTGTTTTTTGGCACATACCTGTAGCAATGAGCACTTGTGGCAAATAAGTAAATTCACTGTTACTTCATACTCGGGCTCATACTTACTCTTACTTATTAAATCAAACTTAAACCTTCTCTGCCTAGAGGGTCTAGTGAGACTCGGAACAAACTGACACCATCAGCTGGTCCTAACCACTCTTTGCCCCCAATTACATCCTGTTTCCTAGCAACAGCATGAACTACAGATGCCTATTTGGGACAAACTGTCCTAACTGTCACTGGGTTTATTGGACACTATGCAGAATGTTAGTTGTGCACCTTTAGTAACCAGTGTACTGTGCACTGATGTCTTGCTGTTCATGCACTTGGAGCAGGACAAACATGTTTGTTCTATGCTTTACACGCCTGTCTGGTCCAGAATGACAGTAAAGCTGACCTTGACCTTTCTCATCATCCCCTCCTCTTCCTCACTGTCTAGCTTACAGACGGTGAGCTGCATGCCCCCGCCCGTCTCCTCTGCTGTTATTCTCACCAAGGCTGTCGGAGGCAACGAGGTGACAAACACACACTTTAGCAAGTCGTTATCCTTCAGCGTTTGACAAATGGAGTAATATTGAACGGTAATAAGCAGTGTGTGTGTGTGTGTGTGTTCATGATGTTGTCTCTGTATGTTGTGTGTGTGTTCCTAGGCTGCTGCCATCTTCAACTCAGCGTTTGGAAGCTTCTTGGTAAGATGCTGGTTTGATTTGTGGGTTCAGACCTGCTTTGAATTCGGTTAGGGCTAAGAAATGTGTTTCGAATGAACGTTATGAAACTGTAGTTTCCCGTTAACTAGTCCAATGGCATCCAGCCGTCAGTGTGAACTCTGTGTCTTCCTGTAGGGAATCATTGTGACGCCGCTGCTGCTGCTGCTGTTTGTAAGTCAGACCTTCTGAAATTTAATATGCTTTCCACACTGAATACACACAAACACACACATCAGACTCTTTCACTGATGGTTTCTGCCACCTGGGGGCAGTGCAGCAGAGTGTAACCACAGCGCTGTGAGTTACCACAAGGCCACAGTACATTTCCTCTGCTACACTTATTTGACCTGACTGTTCCTGCAGTGTGTGTCGGACTAATTTTATTTGTGTCGTGGTTCTTCCCCTGCTCGTCCAGCTTGGCTCTTCATCCTCCGTTCCCTTCTCCTCCATCTTCTCTCAGCTCTTCATGACCGTCGTGGTGCCTCTGATCCTGGGTCAGGTACGAACTTGTGTGTGTTACACAGGTCCAGAAGACGTCTTCTTCTGATTTCTGGGAACTACCAACAGAATCCAGACGATCTTTCTGGTGTGTCTGTGTGTGTGTGTGTGCAGGTGTGTCGAGGTTTCCTCAGGGAGTGTCTGGAGCACAGGAAGCCGCCATTCGGCACCATCAGCAGCGCCGTCCTCCTCATGATCATCTACACCACCTTCTGTGACACCTTCAGTAACCCCAACATCGAGCTGGACCCCACCAGTCTGCTGCTGGTCGTCCTCATCAGTCAGTACACTGTGTGTAGAGAGAGAGAGAGAGAAAGTAACACCTTTCTATTGAAGGTGAAGGCCACAAGGGAGGAAAGAACATTTTGCTAAACCACTGAGAAAAGTGTTATAATTTAGACTTTAAACTGAATTAAACGTTGTGGAAGAGTTATAAACGTTAGGCTGCCTCAGTTGGGTGGAGCATCAGGTTTGTAACTTCAGATACAATAAAGTCCATCTCCGTTGAAAAGCTTCATCTTCATTGGCAGTTTCAGCCTTTGAATCTTGAGTTAGAACTGCTGAGTTTACTTTTATCCAGTTTATGGTTTTGTCATTTTTCTAGCAGCCAGTTTGAGAGAAATGTTCGCTTCTTGACAATTTATATTTCCCGGTTTCCTTCACTGTGTCGTTGACAGTTAGATGAGAAGATTTACTATATCACTCTCATCATTTTAAGATAAATGTGAAGCTGCAGCCAGACAAGGGAAACCGGTGGCCTGGCTCTGTCCAAGAATCCAGAATCCACACTGATTAACAAGTTACATCGTGTTTGTTAAACAGAAATCAGCTAATTTGCTGTAGTTACGTGCTGTCTTTAACACTTCCGCACAGATAAGATATAATGTGCTAATTAGTTAATATACAGTTGCTGGGAGCTGGATGTAGTTCCCTCTGGACAGAACCAGAACCAGAACCAGCTGGTTCCTTTCTTTATGCTAAGCTGCTGCTGTAGCTTCATGTTTTCATGGGCATTAGTCCAAAATGTTCGATACCAGTGCCGATACCTTGATTTTCATACTGGTTCCTAAACTTACTTTATTTGAAACCAGTTTTATAAAATCAATTTTAACCAAAAATATAGACATTATAATATGTAGTTAATGTACATTACACATTTTGGTACAGATCATTAGCTTCATTTTTCAATTCCTTGGCATCTTTGTGCTCTCAAAGCAGTTTCATAACAAAGTGTAAACCTATTTACCACAACCTTAAGTTCTCTTAACATCAGCTCGATGGTATTGAAGTAATTCGATCGGTGCCATAAAAGTATTGAAGTTCGATACCCAACACAGCAAGAGTGGTATCGATCCTCACATCTAACTGAGCAAGAAAGGAGACAGGTTTCCCAAAAAGGTCAAACTAATAGTCTGATTTCTCACCTTCTTGACAAGTCCTTTGAGTTTTATAGCTAAAAGAATAATTTTCCAATTAACAACTAAACATGGATCCAGTGCCCCATGTAGATGGTAAAAAGGCTGTATCAGCAGTAACAGTATGTGGTTCTGGGTAAAGAGGCTGCCCACTCGTACAAACTTGTAGTTTCAGTCTAACACGCCACATAAACAAGATGAACACTGCCATAATCCTGCTAACAGAGGTTCTGCTGACTAAAGATGGATAAATATGTTTTACACTCTGGATTGTAGTGGAATGTTAAAGTGACGTCTGTCTCTCTGCAGTTTTCTCCGTCCAAGTCGGCTTCATGCTGCTGACGTTTGTGGTTTCTACCAGGTGAGGCTCCTCCTCCTCCTCTGTCCTCCATCTTTACTCCTCCCTCCACTCCTTCTTCTTTATCTTTTTGTTTTTTTACACACCAGTCTCAGTATTTCCTTTTTCAGCAAACCCTTGTCAACATGATGTGTAAACGTGCCTAAGAGTCAGATTAAAACTAAAAAGATGGCTGCCGTGTTTCTTACACGAGCACATTAAGTCAGATGTCTGAGATCCACCCAATGGCTTTGTGATTTTTGGGCTATATAAATAAAACGTACTTGATTTTACTTCCTGTTTGTCTCTGCAGGCCTGGCTCAGGTTTCAGCTCTGCAGACACTGTCGCCATCATGTTCTGCTCCACACACAAATCACTGACTCTGGGCAAGTAAATAAAATGACTTTTTCACCACGTCTAAGCCTGTTTTAAAATAATGAATTAACAATTTATTCCTACGTAGATTAAAAGCACAGAAGCTCCTTTATTCTTGATATTAATAACATTATCATGTATGCAATGTATAAAAATTCCATTGTTTCCCATCCAAACATACAAATGTATGAACAGCAGCTAATAAAAGATGTACAACATTAGTATATGGAATAATATAGAAACCCAGTGTCAACAGGCAAATTTAAGAAGTATTATTTATTGTGTTTTGGGGATTAAACCTCAGCTCCACAGGCAAAGTGTCAGAACATTATTTCTCTCCAGGTATCCCTATGCTGAAGATCGTGTTTGAGGGCTACGAGCATCTCTCTCTGATCTCAGTCCCGCTATTGATCTACCATCCGGCTCAGATCCTGCTTGGCTCCGTCCTCATCCCGACCATCCGCAGCTGGATGACCACCCGGCAGAAGGTACACAAACTCTGGTGCACACACTCTGTGGGGTCATAGGTTAAAACGCCACCTGCCCAGGTTCACAGCCTGAGGACAAGGCTGCAGTCCAACGTTAACCTCTGCACCTGGTCTCTTCTCCTACAGTCTTGTTGAAACACTAATGCCCTGAGGGAGTAGACCCAAAAACAACTGTTTATTTAACCTAGTTAAAACAGTGCCTCCATTATAATTGTTCTTCTTGGCTTTTGTAACTACAGCTGCAGATCTGTTGTGATCCTGTGTCAGTTCGTCTATTGTTGAACTGATATATTTTAAACTCCTCCCTCAGTGTTATTGTCAGGAGAACAATCTGCAGAACTTGGATCGAGCATCAGTTGGGTTGCACTGGTTCATAGTGGTGGGTGTGGTGATGATATTGACAGTCCCCTGTCAAATCCACAAACTACTGAAGTTGATGTGAATTTTGATGTACACATTGCAGTGGAGCAACGAGTTTGGAGCTGATGTCTTGGTGCTTCTTTTCTTCTGTCTCTGTTCAGGCGGTGAAACTGTTGTACGTTCAGCCCGTCTGACAAGGATGGTGTTTGTACTTTGATGCAAAGTGGACTAAGATGGAGGGAACAGTAGTCGTACAGTATGTGCCTTATTACAGCCAAACAACAGAGACCTCAGCGTGGTGGAGTGGACAAGGCTCGCTATTTAGACAAAAAAACTCCTGTTTCATATGTCAGTCACATGTTCTTTTATATTTAAAAGAAGAAAATGTTTTATTTTTTATGGAATACCTAAAAATTCCTGCAGAAGGAGGACAGCTGTTTTGTTTCTTTGTTTTTTAACAGTGGGAATATTTAGTTTGAAACTTGCACCTACCAGCAAGAAAAAGAAATGGTGGTGTTACTGGGACCGTTCTTTTTTTCATTTTGTTGCTATTTTCTACATTTTTCTACTCTTGGCTGTCACTGCCAGAAAATGTGAACGTTTGTTGGTGCTGCATTATCTGATATGTTATACAGTAACAGCAGCTGTTTTGGTTTTTGACACTTTCTCAAATAAGGTTTGTGTTTGGTGACAAGAAGCAGTGTTGCAGTGACACTTTCAAGGTCGTGGTGTTAATGAATAATCAACCCGAATGAACATGAACATTGAGGTAGAGAGTCTGATTTAACAGGTAAATACCATCATCTTTTTTTGGATCTTTCCAGATTTTTATGTCTTTTCTTGCATTATTTGCACTTCTACTGCGTGTGTGAATTCTTGTCAACGCCATTTTCTATACACTTTGGATTCTGACCAACATTTGTACCTTGAACCAGTGAGGAGGCAGACATCTAAATGTTTATGATCAAGGGTCATACCAAGTAGCTGTTACCCTCTGCAGTAAAGTCCAGAAAAAAGTTTGAAATTCCAGAATAATGCAAAAAATGAAGGTGTACATACACATCTGTATGTAGACGATATCCTATTCTTTATCTAAGCGATGTAGTAGTTACATCATTTTGTCAATACTGTAGTCCACCAGCTACAATCATCAAAACCAGTTTAAGGAAATGAATGTATTGGAAAAGTATGAGATTGTGGAACTAAATTCAGTAGGAGGATTTTTTTATGACCTGATAATTAGACTGAATTTTTACTTGATGTCCCTCTAGCTAACTTTTGGATTCAAATTCTTGACTGTTGGGGAGAGAGAGAGAGAATCAAAACAAACTCAGTCAGTAACCAGCCATACTGGTTTTAAAAAAAGCATCTCATAACCTTGGTCCAGCGGGGCATGGAAGAAGTGCTGTGTGGATTTCAACAACAATGGCCACAAAGGCAAGACATAAACACAAGGCCTGAAGATGGTGGGGGTGGGGTGTGTAGTACAGCAGGGAGACAATACTTCTGGACAGTTCTTTACTTGATTTGTCTGAATTTGTGCTAAATCCTAGTGAATGCAGCTTTAAAAGCTGTGAAATGTGGGCAGTGTTTGAGGTCTGGAACCAGATTAACAGAACCACCTGTATGGCAGGGTGACGGGGAATGTATCATCAACAACCAATCATATTACCCTGTTTGTCCAAGTCTGTTCCTACAAACACCACAGTATTTTTAGAAACGTTAGCTGCCTCGTGACCTTAAGTCTATGGACCAAATTGACATACAAAAAAAGTGTGATACTTTGCTCACTGGCACTTCAGCAGCATTTGCATAAGTTAGTCTTCCTATGATGCCTTACAACTGTATACATTCAGAAAAATGAATGTAGATGTACGCATCTCCCTGAGTGTGTGTTTCTGTAACCAAGCAGGTTATTGGGGAATGACCTGCTTGGTGCACACAACAAGCCAAAGCCTGTTTCTTCACTGTTTCCCTGTTTACTTGGATTGAGACGAACACAATGAGCAACTGTGGCTCTTACTTTCCAGTGTGGTTGGTAGAGATTGTCTCTAGGGGGGGCTGTGGCTCAGGAGGTAGAGCAGGTCACCTGCTCACCAGAAGGTTGACTGGTCCGATTCCTTTCTCCAGTCCACATGTTGAGGTGTCCTTGGACAAGACACTGAACCCCCAGTAGCAGTGTGAGTGCGAATGGATGAATGGGCAAACAATGTGCTGCAATGCATAGAAAGGCATTATACAAGTAAAAGACCATTTACCATCTCTGATGCTGATGCTATGAGAATACTGAGGCCTCTGCAGCACAAATGCCACTTCACTGGTCATCCAGTAACTGAAGTTTACAGTCGATATCTGTCTGTTTTCAGTGCAATTGTTCTGCCTGTTGTGGATGAAAGACAGTGGATGGGGGATATGTATGGGTTTGTTCTTACTTGTTAATAAAAAAAGACAAATGGAAATAAACTGGTAAACTGAACTGTATTTTCTTCTGTACTGCTTACTTTTGAAAAGTAAGGTAATGCAGTGCAGTCCAAGTACTTGGTGTATGGGCATCAGTTTCTTTCCTGATTTATCTGTGAACCATGAGAAAAATGAATCCAGGTGGGTTTCTTGTAACATTAAACGTACAAATGTATATAGCTAGTGAATAAATCAGTCAATATTATATATTAGTGAGGATTTAAGATGTAATGTGCAGAGTTGTGTCCCCTCTGTTAAATGGATCAGGTAATTGTTGGCAGTTCACACGCTAAAGAAAAGCAACGTGCAGCTTTTTCTCAGATTTCAAACTGCACAACTAGAGATTACAGAGCTGGAGTTTTCCACTGGAAGTCTTAACACTCCTGCATCTAATGGGCTCCTCATTCTCAGGGCAAGTTTAGATATATTTTGAGATCTAATTGTGTATTTCTTGTTTGACCAAGTGGAAAAAACACTCAGGGAATTATTGGCAGCTCATTAATTTTACTGACCCAATTTTTATTTACTTTTTGGTACAGATGCGTTTTCTGTTGCATCATTTGGGTGAAGTATTGTTAAAGTAACCCTATGACAGCCCTGCTAACACACCCTCGGGCCACTTTTAACACACAACCACACCCAAGTGGTTTGAAATTGCTATACAACCAGCATTTCCATCTGTGAAGCCTCAGACCACAGGAGCTGAAATAAAGAAGCACACGATGTGTATTACTGAAAATATTTTATTTTTAAATGTATCCGTATGCCTTTACATGACAGTTTACATATAATGTTCAATATTAGTGATTAGCATTTTGAGATTGATATCATAGGTGAAACAAGAATGAACCTTGGCACAAAATTCTTTACAAATGTTTAAAATCGTTTCAGGTTTTTTATGTTTTTTGTTCATTTTTACCTGTTTGCCTTATTGTCTGCAAAGCAGTGAACTCCATGAACCTGTGTGAAAGGTGAGTGATTCAATGGTGTCACGCCCTAATACAAAGGCACAGGGTTCATTCCTCGAGATGAAACCTGGAGCTGGTATAAAAAACATTTCATCCCTGTTCAGTTACATTCTTGAGAACATGAATCAGGTCGGGCATCGTGCAGCTTAATTAAAAAAACACTTTAATCAGTCTTTTTAGACTGGCATCCTCAGGAGCAGGGTGCAGCTCACTGGGTGACCTCACATGTCCTACCTACAGGTCTGACAGGTGCATCAGTGCAGGCCAGCTATTTTGTTCAAAAACAAAAACACATCACAGTTGCCTTGTTTACACATAACAAAACATCACTTTTGAAATGCTGCTGCAAAGGCTTTTTACAGTGACTGAAGTAACCAAGAGTCAAGGGTCCGTGCACGAGATCTCTAGATATTTTTAACGAACATCAGGGTCTTTTGTTTTGTAATGAAGCATGTCACAAAGTTATTTAGGGCCTTGTAATGTTTGTTCTAATTTCGATTTAGTTATTTTAAATGTACTCTTAGTGTGTTATGTTCTTTTTTGTTTTTTTAGGAAAAACAAAATTAGAAGAAGATGTTAGCTTCCTGTTCTGATCTCTGCCGATAACGTAGCTCAGCCTGTATATTTTTATGGACAAGTCTAGGTTTGGCCTCATTTTGGTGCCAGACAAAAGGCTGACATAGTGGCCAAATATTATTCATTATCTGAGGATCGTGAATAATCACAGTCAATTTCATGACAATCTGACAAATACTTTTTGAGACACTGTCAGGCACCAAAGAGGATGCATTTTAATCTCAATGTGATGCTAAACAAAAGTTGTCTGTGGACTCCGAATGATCACACCAGTTCAGAAGGCAACTGGCCAGAAGCTGTCAAGGTATCTTGCTTTCGGGCATGAAAACAAATAGAGTAACTTTGCCATCATTGAGCATCAATGCTACTGTGACAAAAGAATGTAAAATAACCTTGTTTCACTGGATTATGACCATTAAGCTCATGACATTAGAATGCTGTAGGCTAGCTTGACGTACAAGCTAGTCCCTAGCTAGGCTAACTAGATAACAAGGAAGCTTTGTATTTTTGTGTGTTTTCTGTTACCAATTAAATGCCATGCTTCACAATATCAATTTCACTCCAATTTAATGTTAATTTAATTTAATGAGAGACCTCAAATGGTATGATTATTTCTGCTCTCAGCTCTGATTTGAAAAAATATTTTGGTGTCTACAACTGTCAGTTGCTACCATTACCTGTGTATGTTCCCTGTCTGTCAGTCTCCAGGTGATGCCAGTATATCATACTCTGCCAGAAGCACAAAGCTGTTTTCTCTGATTCTCCGGACTCTGACCAAATCTCCACACTCCTGGACATGGATCAGCCCTCTTTCTCCTCTCCCATACTCTCTCTCCCTGTCATTCAGCGTCATCTCTGTCTGTTTGTGACAGGCTTGACGGTACATATATCTTATCCCGACCACCAGCACCATACCCAAGCCAGCTGAGGAGCCCAGCAACATGCCCAGCTCCCAGGCACTGTGTCTGGGGATAATATCTGGATATTTCTCTTCCTTGTCTGGAGTTCCAGAGGGATTGGAGGGACGTTTGGGTTTAGTTTCACTGTTCGGAAGATTTGGTTTCAATTCATGACCAATATTTAGTTTAAAGTTTGGTTTAAGGCTTGGATCAGGTTGGTGGTTTGGGTGAATCACTGCTCTTAATGTTGGTGAGTTAATGATGGTTTTAGGATTAGATGATGCCATGTGGTTCTGGATTAGCAACCTCTGACCTACAGTCACTTTGTGGGAGGGTGCAGGGGACAAAGAGGACAAGGAGGGGTTGTGAAGAGAACGACGGGGAGCTGGTGAGGGTCCTGGATACATGGTGGTAGATGACATAGAAGAGGAGGAAGTGGCAGATGAATTGGAGGAATATGATGATCCCAATGGGAAGAGAGAAGTTGCTGGGGTAGAGGTAGATGAGGAAGAAGGAGGAGGTGAACGGGGGGAAGTTGCAAAACCTAGGGAAGAAGCTCCAGAGACAATGGAGGAGGAGAGAACAGGAGAGATGGTGGAAGAAGAGGTTGAGGAAAAGGTTGATCCTGTTATATACTGGGAGGAGGTAAAGGGAGATGAGGAAGAAGTAGATAAAGGGAGTGGGGAGAATAAGGGAGCTGGTGATGGATAGTTGGAGGAATTCAATGATTTTAATGAAGAGGCTAAGGAGGATGGCACAGGGGAAGTAGAGGATGGTTGGTCAGAGGGAAAATTAGGAGGAACTGAAATCGGGGAAGGAGAAGTTAGAGCAGAAATGGCTGGAGCTGTTTTGGGTTGGTCCTTTACAGAGGAAGAAGAGGAATGGGTGAACAATTTTGATTTGATGGATGGATGCATTGATACTAGGGGTGAACCTGTAGAAGGATATGGAGGAGTGGTAGAGCTATGGTGAACAAGGGAAGATGCAAGCAAAGTATGATCTGAAGTAGAGGATGAGGAGTGAAGAGTTGACTGATAGGTAGAGCCAGAAAAATAAGAAGGAGAAGGAGTAGCTAAGGGAGCAAAGACAGACACTGGGCTCATGGTTTTGATTTTTGCTGGAGACAGAACATCTGTGATCTCTTTACCCTCATCTAGTGTGACGACTGGGTCAACCCTCAATGTGAAGAGTAGAGGGCTGAAAGATCTGGGAGTTACTGAAGGCTGAGATTGCTTCCACCCAGATGTAGATGCATGGGGTGTATTACTTTGGGAAAGGGGCTGGGAAGAGATACTAGAAGCTTCAGATAGTATTTCAGATTGGGACTGGTCTGTCTGGGGAAAGCTACCTTGACCCAGAGTTTGACTGGGGGTAGTTTGGGGCAGGGCTTGGTGAAAGTAACCCAGAGGTTCAAGATGAGATGGACTGTTCAGGGATACAGTTGTTTGAAGGTCAGGGTGAGGTGGGCTGGTTTGCTTTGGTCCCATTTGGTGTTCAAATTGGTTATTTTTAAGTGGAGATTTGGGTAAATGACTCACAGACTGGTAGTGGGATGGAAGGTGTTTGTTGGGTAGATGCTGGAGTGATAGAGGGTTGGGCTGAGCAAGAGATGGACTTTTGTGGGTCTGGATAATAGACTGAAGGGTGGATTTGGATGCAGTATAGGGGTTTAATGAAGAGGTTTGGGGAAAGGGTTTAAAGGAAGATGCTTGTGAGAAAAGAAGAGTCTGCCTTGTAACAGTTTGGGACTGAAGTAAAGGTTTGAGGGTAGGAATCTGAAGCTGGGGCAGGGACTGGCTACCCATTTCATCCTTTATTAGTCTCATTTGGGACATGGTTAGGCTAGTCCTCCAGGGCTGCAATGAACTGCTCTGTCTCTCAGTCTTAACTGAACTAGTTTGGTCCTGCATTGTTCCTCTTCGATTGTGCGATGTGGGTCTTGGGGGATTTGAACTGTGGAAGCTGCGACTTGAAGGTATAGTTGTGGTGGTGGGTTTCGGGTTTATTGTTGTGGCTTTGGTTTCAGGATCATTGGGCAGTTTTGAAATGTGAAAGTTTATGTTTGACTCTTTACTTTTCATTTCACCATTTGTCAGAGGGAAGACAGGAGCCAGGGAGTGCAGAATGGAAAGGGGGGTGGTTGCGTTTTGCACTGTGGTGTTTGGCAAAGTGGTAGTAACGTCCATCCCTATAGGCTCAGCTGAGGAGAAAGAGGCGGTAAAAGGAAGGTGGCTGGATGAGAAAAGAGTGCGCTTGGGGCCCTTGGTATGAGTAACAGGGCTCCCTGTGTCAGTGCCTGCCTCTTCAGTCACACCTAAGAGGTATCCTGAAGTTGCATTAATGTCATCCCTACTGTCTTTGGTTGCATTTTGAAGAAATCCTGAAGGCTTAGGGCTGTTCCTTTTATTAAATGCCTGATTTGCCAGGTGTTTAACTCCAAGGAATGCCAGAGTCATAGAGCTGTTAATCTCCAAGGCTGGATGAGAGACTCCTGTTAATGTTTCCAGAGATTTGTAGATTTGTGTTCCACTCCTCGTTTTTGTAGGGAGTCCT